GGCGGCCAGCAACCAGGCAGCTGAAGCGAACAGGAGGCTTGCTTGCCAATGTTCCCCACCTGCTACTGCCGGCCTCTGAGCTTACACTCTAAGAAACAATGTTGCAAATATAGAAGCTAAATAGGCTCTAGAAACCTGTTTTCAGCCTGCCAGGCTTCAGCCAGCAGGATCACAACCGTGTTTCAATTATAGAACCCAAACAAACCCAGAGACCTGCTTTCAGCAGCCTATGTCTCAGAGCTGGAGCCGAGCCTTAGAGCTAAAGCCAGCTCTCAGCTCCAGTGGCAGCCATAGAAGGTAAATAAATCCCAGAATAAAAAAAAGAAAAAGAAAAAAAGGAGAGGTTGGGAGTTTCAGTCACCCACCAGCCTGAAAACGGCCCTTAGCCCCTTACCCAGACTGGCCAGGCACCCCAGTGGGGACCCCCACCAAGAAGGGGGTGTGACCAGCTGCAAACAGCCATCATCCCCTCATCCAGGCTGGCCAGGCAACCCAAAGGAGACCCCTACCATGAAGCAACAAGATGGCAGCTAATTTGCATACTGAAGGCGGGTGGCAGCTGGCAAGGCTGTTCGTGGTCCGGGACCTGGATCTGTGACCCTGCCGGATGGGGGGCAGTGCTTGAGGCTGTCAGTGGTCTGGGACCCGGATCTGTGACCCTTCCGGGCAGGGGGCAGTGCTTGAGTCTTTCCACGGGACCAAGACACAGATATGTGACCCTGCCAGGCAGGGGGCAGCGCTTGAGATCAGCGCCCAGGAGCGGCTGCGCAAGATCTGCCTCCTGGACCAGAAGATGCAGGATCGCAGGGACAGCCACCGTAGAAGGCCAGACTGACGTCCTCCTGGCCGCACCACGGGGGTTTACGGATCTGCAAAGCCAGAGGCCTCCAGTGTGCACATCCCGCGCTGGCGTGCGAACATCCCCCAGCACACTGTCTCCCTCCCGCTCCTGCAACAGTTGCAAACCAAGGCACAGCGGAGGGCTGCCTGTACTCTGCACATGGCAGTGGTGACAGCTGTGAGCACGCCAAGCGGAGCCTGCAGGCTGAGCTGAAGTAGCCCCTGCAGGCCATCAGCGCCCAGGAGTGGCTGCTCAAGATCTGCCTCCTGGCCCAGAAGGTGCAGGATCGCAGGGACAGACACTGTGGCGGGCCAGACTGACGTCCTCCTGGCTGCACCACAGGGGTTTGTGGATCTGCAAAGCCAGAGGCCTCAAGTGTGCACATCCCGCGCTGGCGTGCGAACATCCCCCAGCACACTGTCTCCCTCCCGCTCCTGCAACCGTTGCAAACCAAGGCATGCACAAGTTCTCCCCACCTCTCCACCGCACTTCCATCAACACAGCATGCCTAACACTCCCCCTCCCCCCACAGGATGTGCACACATCCCCTCTGATGCGCCAAATCTGCTGTTGGTTTCTTTCACCGCTGACTAGAGATATACAGGGTGTCTCCCCAAAATGTATACACACTTTGAATACCTACTAATTCCAATGGTTTTAAGCATGAGAAGAAAGAAACAACAATGGAGCTGTTATCTGTTAAAAGTGTGGGCACAAACAGGTAGTTGGACATTCCCTGAGGGGTCTCAGATTGGAGAGAGTGAAGTCCAGACTGAGGGGCCCCTTTTTCCCCTACCCCAGTGCACGAATTTTGTGCACGGGGCTACTAGTATAATTATAATATTCTTTAGAAGAGAGAGGCTGGTACTGAAAAACATTTTCCTAGTATAAATTCTTATATACAATAGATCTCCTGTACTAAATGCTATTTATTTACCTCAATAGACCACCAGTGAATTTATTAATCACTTCTTCATACAAGTGTTTGTTTGGGCTTTGTTTTTGTCTTCAATGATTATAAGCTAAACTAGAGGCCTGGGGTACAAAATTTGTGCACTGGCGGTGGGGAGGGAATGTCCCTCAGTCCAGCCTGCACCCTCACCAATCTGAGACTTCTCGGGGGATGTCTGACTACTGGTTTAAGCCCGATCCCAACAGCGGTTGGACATTCCTCTAACAATCTGGGACTGCTGGCTCCCAACTGCTCACCTGCCTGCCTGTCTGCCTGATTGCCCCTAACTGTTTCTGCCTACCAGCCTGATCACCCCCTAATGACTCCCCTACCAGCCTGATCGATGCCTAACTGCTCCCCTGCCATCCCAATTGCCCCCAACTGCCCTCTCCTACTGGCTTGGTCATCCCTAACTAGCCTCCCCTGTCAGCCTGGTCACCGCTAACTGCCCTCTCTGCTGGCCTGGGTGCCCACAACTGCCCTCTCTGCCGGCCATCTTGTGGCTGTGGGTGCAACCATCTCTGATGGCAGGACAGCCAATTAGCATTTTCCCTCCTTATTGGCTGTGGGTACCACCATCTTTGAGGGTGGGGCAGTCAATTAGCATATTCCCTCCTTATTGGCTGTAGGCACCGCTATCTTTGTGATGGTGTGAGGTTCAATTAGCATATTCCCTCTTTATTAGATAAGATTACAGACTTCACAGATTGCTCTACATGAAGGAGATTCACTGATGTGTTGGTATGTTGGTCCAGTGCAGTGGTCGGCAAACCACAGCCTGCGGGCCACATGCGGCTCTTTGGCTCCTTAAGTGTGGCTCTTCCACAAAATACCACGTGTGGGCGTGCACGTACAGTGCAATTGAAACTTCGTGGCCCGTGCGCAGAAGTTGGTTTTCGGCCTGGGCAAGTCTATTTTGAAGAAGTGCCGTTAGAGGAAGTGGGGGGTGTCGGTTGGTTGAGCGACGGGAGACTTGGTGCAGGCAGGTCACGGGATATGCAGCGTGGGGGAGGTACATTGTTTTGAGGTACATTTGCTGAGGTTGACCCCTCCCAACTATCCCATCAACACTCATTTATCTGAAACAAGTATACAAGACGAGTGTGGATGGGAGAGTTGGAAGAGGTCAACCTCAGCAAATGAACCTCAATCAGATTGAGAACATTTTTAGCAAAGGCCAGCTTGGGAGTACCCTAATTAAGTTAATAACAATGTACCTACCTATATAGTTTAAGTTTAAAAAATTTGGCTCTCAAAAGAGATTTCAGTCGTTGTACTGTTGATATTTGGCTCTGTTGACTAATGAGTTTGCTGACCACTGGTCTAGTGAACCACTCTGAAATCTACCCTGCTTACATATACAAAACCTATTTGTAGTTTTGCTTGGGAGACACTTGCAAAATGATTGCTAATAATACCTAGCATTTTACCACAGTAAGACTTACAGATAATTGAAAACAAGACAAAATTTACCATCATACTCACACTCATATTTGATATGTGGTATTCAGACAGTGTTACTTGGATGTCATAGAGGATAAATGGATTAAAATGAGTAAAATAATAGTTATTCTCTTTTTATAACCTTAGCCTTTTCACAATTACATTTATTGATTAAATGGAAAAAGAAATGAGAGTTGTAGGTTTCTTATGTTGCACTCCCTATAAGCAAAGCTTGAGATAGGAATTTAGATGCATGCAATTAATTAATGAATGCCATCAGGAGACAGGACATGATGAAAAGTAGAGGATACAGGGAAGGAGATAAGTAAGGACATACAAACTCCAATCTGGAGTTGAACTTCAGAAGGCAAGATAATCAGTATATGTCCACAGCCTTCTTCCTTCACACCAGGGGCCATAATCTTGGTGAGACAATTCTAATTGGGTTGAGAGTAAATAACTTGAAGAAAGCTGTAATGTGGACAATGAGAAGCCAACAATCACAGGAGCAAGGGGTAGGTGTACAGTTTTGCAAAGTGATCTGGACAAAGGACCAATGATGTCAATGATATCTTCTATCTAATTCCATTTTCTGGCTCACTTGGTTCTCTTCCTGCTCTGATTTAGATGTAATGAAGACATAAACTACACTTTTTGAGGATATTTTAACTTGGGTCACAGGTCCCTTCCTAATTCTTCATAAAATTTTGATCAAATAAAAATAACATTTTAGCCCTGACTAGTTTGGCTCAGTGGATAAAGCGTCGGCCTGCAGACTGAGGGCTCCCAGGTTTGATTCTGGTCGAGGGCATATACCTTGGTTGCGGGCACATCCCCAGTCGGGGGTGTGCAGGAGGCAGCTGATCAATGTTTCTCTGTCATTGATGTTTCTAATTCTATCCCTCTCCCTTCCTCTCTGTAAACAAATCAATGAAATATATTTAAATAGTAATAATAATATTTTATTTCTTGGGACATTCACACTTTATAAAATAAAGTCAAGATACATCTAGAAAGTGACTATTTTTCCCAAAAGATATGAAAACCTATTCCCTCAGTCCCTTAGGCCTTATTCATAGCAAAAGGAGAAATAAGGGAATTACCTCTTCTACTCAAACAGACTAGTTAGTCTCCGGTAAGTGTTCTGGAGATGGTACCAACATCAGAGCTAAAGATTGGCATAGTAGGATAGTAATGAGGACAAAGATAGAAAGTACAAGGACTAGGTCTATTTCTTCTCATTTATTCATGGTTTCTTTTATTATTTGATGGAGGAGGAAGGAACCAATCAGGTAGTTGATATGACAATTATAACACTATTTAAGAAAGAATTCATACTTTTTTCTCAGGGAAATTCTGGGCTTCAGTGACCAAGCATAAAAGTCCCCATAGTTTGTATGGATATCTGTTGGGGAATTTGTGGGAGTTTGAGATTGAATTGGCTATTAATATGCAAAACTTTACTCTATTTTACCCAAACCAAGTCATAATTTTATAACTCTGTTCTTACTGGCCACCATTCTAACTCCAAAGAAATACATGATAGTTACATTATAGACACAACTATAAATACCTAAATTAGTATTATTACAAGAATTGAGTGTCAAACAGAGATATTTAGTATACAGTTGTTGTTGTTTTTTTATTGTACAAACTACATTAGGTCTAAGACCTGAGCTAAAAGAGCTATCTTAGAATAATTTATAGCTCTACTTTGATAATTATTTTGCCAAGAAATATGATCATGGGTGGTTGATGTGAAACTTCTTTATTCCCATGTCACAAATCAGAGTTCTCAAATGAAGGGCTGTGATGGCCAGAGATCAGGGCCTAACTTTATGGGTAGTAAAAAGGTGAAGAATACCACTCTGGATCTGCTTGGTCTTGACACTATAGATTATAGGATTCATTAGTGGAGGAAACAGAAAATAGACATAGCTCATAATGAGGTGGACAATATGTGGAACCTCCTTCCCAAACCGATGAATTAGAGACAATCCAATCACTGTGATGTAGAAAACCAGGACACAGCAGATATGGGAGACACAGGTGTTGAGGGCTTTGGCCCGCTCCTCTCTGGAGGCAATGCTCAGGACACTCTTGAGTATCAACACATAGGAGATGAGGATAATCAGAGAATCCAGTACAAATATAAGGACTACAAGCACAACTGGATACAGCCGATTGAAGGTGGTATCAGCACAGGCCAGTTTAATGACATCCTGATGAAGGCAGAATGCATGGGAGAGGACATGGGAATGGCAATATGGGAAAAAGTAGAGGGGTGAAATTGGAGGAACAACAGATATAAAGCCCCTCATCAGTACTACCAGCCCAATTTTCACTACTCGAGTATTAGTGAGTATAGAGGTATATCTAAGGGGGTTGCATATGGCAATAAAACGATCATAGGCCATAGCCAGCAAAACACCAGACTCTACAAAAGAAAGTGAATGTATAAAGTAGGCTTGAGAAAAACAGGCTACATTTCCAATCTCCCTATGGTCCAACCAGAGGACACCCAGCACCGTGGGCATTGTGGTTAAGGTCAGCCCCAGGTCTGTGGCTGCCAGCATGGCCAGGAAATAGTACATAGGCTCATGAAGATTGTGATCTTCCTTAATGAGAAGGATGAGGGTGCCATTGCCAAAAAGGACAGAGATGTAGACAAAAAAGAAGGGTATAGAAATCCAGTGGTGAGCTGCCTCCAAGCCTGGAAAACCAGTCAACAGGAAGGAACCGAAGCTGCTGTTGGGCCACATGTTGGGTTTATCCAGAAGAAATGTTCTTTTTTTCCCTCAGTTATTCAGCTACCACAGAAATTTAGCTCTATGTTCAAGCTAGTACTCCAGATACATCGTCCCAGAATTCTTACCTAAAGGTAATAATAACATCAGTATAATCCATTATTTCTCAAAACATATTCTTAGGACAATCTTGTGTTCTTAACTCATATTCCAGGGACCATAATATTCTTGGAGTTTTATAGGATTATCTGCATTTTAACAAGTTCCCCAGGAAAGTTTGATGTTACAACTTATAAACCATTCCCATCAACTATGCAGACTTCACAGAAAAATCTATACATGAGGGATTTCAAGGAACTGAACCCTTACCTTACTCCATTCTACTACTGAAAGCTATGATTGACTTCACAGTAGTGATTCCTAACCCACATTATCCTGCATATGCATGATTCCTTTTGATTCTCAACAAAAGATCCAGAAGTCTATGAGAAAAGTGGGGGAAGAGAAGCTGTGTCACTAGCACTTTTGTTAAGGAGAAGATAGATATGAAAAAGAAATATTTTGCTTCCCAATTCCATAGATTAGTGATGGAAAGACAAAACAAAAATGTTTACATTGTGTTTGTTAGCTTATTCCTGGACATGGCAGAACTACTTAGTCCTTACTACAATAGCCCAGAGTAATTGGAAGTTAGATGGTCATAGAGTAGACACTTGAGCTGAAATAAATGATTAGGTCAGACAAGAGTAGCACTCATAATAGTTTCTCCTTCAATTTGAAAAAATTATCTTTTTTCTATAGAGCTTCTTTCTCTTCCCCCATTATTTTTCTGTGGTACACTACAGTATATCCCCAGAACCTGATTTCTTCCTTTATAATGCTCCATTTGTATTTAAGCAACCACTGTCCTGATGTCCTTCCTTTTATATCCAGCGATAGCTTTCTGAACCTGTCATATCCAATACTAAATGAGATCTCTGTTGCTACTAACAGAAAGTTGTCTGTTAGTAGAGGAAAGAATTTAAGAAGGTTTAACATCTCTTTTGCCACTGGGTTATGAGTTTCTTTCATATAGAAAACACATTTTATTTGCCTTGTTCAATGCTTAGCAAAGTATCTAACATATGATACTATATATACACATACTACATATACATATCTATTATGCATATATACATGTGCATATATACCTAGATAAACACATGCAGACACACACACACACATATGTGTATATATAAGTACACATATATACATTACTTTACCCAATATTTTTTGAGCACCCACTGTGTAGGCATGACATTTTAAGCAGTGGAATTAAATTATAAGACAAAGTTTCTGATTTTGTCAACCATAAATTAAATTAGAAAATAAATTTTAAAAATTTAGATAAATATAGGTGTGATTAAAAAATAGCACTCTTTAATGGAGATTGATTGGTGTGGTATTGCATACGTTTAGTATAATAATTTGGATGTTCTGGGATTGCATCTCTGAGGATTTGACTTTTGACTTGAAACCTGAATAACAAAGAAGTGCTGGCCATATGAAGACCTAGAGAAGAGTATTTCATTGAGAGGGGGAAATTAGCATGTTTGGAGCTGGTGAGCAGACTGTAGAAGGGCAATAGGTAGTGTCAGAGAACCTGGCAGTACTCTCATAGGCCTAATAGATAACACTGGGAACTTTGTTTTTACTATAAATGTGATGAGAAGAAATTAAAAAGTTTAAAATCACAATGGAGGAGAGAATGATGACATTCCGATTTGCATTTTTAAGTTATCACTTAGACTGCTATGTAAAGAGTAGATAATTAAACAAAATAAAAGCAAGGGAAGTAGTTGGAAAGTTATTGCAATACTTCACCTGAGGAATGATCCTGATTTGACTAGGAGAGTAGCAGTGGAGATGAAGACAATATAAACAGAAAATAATGCATTTGTGGTAGTTCCAAGGCTTGCTGATACGTTGGAAGTAGGAATGAGAGAATTACTAAATGAGATTGACTCTAGATTTCTGGTTTGAGCAAATTAGGGAATGGTTAAGTCATTTACTCAATAGGGGAAGTCTGAGAGAAATATATTTACTTGGGAGAAAATTGTCATCAGTCAATACTGCTGAATTAGAACAAATGCATGTCCTATTTTTTTTTTTTGGTCACATACCAGAAGAGTTTCCTAAGCTGCCCCCCCCCCAAAAAAATTAAAGACTTTCAAATATTCAAATATAATTTTTGAAGTTATCTGTACCTGTAGAGAGGGGATCCAGCTGCTAGTTTTCAACAGTGCTGAGGTGCCAGACATCTGGGCATGGGGCTATGATTCAGCACTTTTAGCCTGACCCTAAGGGATAAAAAATTGACAGAATCATTTCTAATTTTTCATATTCTATTCCTAGGAGTGAGAGACATAAACCAAAGTTTAGTGCTTATTGAAAATATGAATGAAGTTTATTCTTTAGTCACTAGATGCAAAGATAATCTCATAGCTGCTCCTCTTCCTACGTTCTTCAAGTACTACTTCACTCTCCGTACTTCTCTGACCTGTCAGCAATGATCTTCAATCTAAACTCTTACTGCAATTTTGTGAACATTTTTCTCTAGTAAAAGAATATGTAGCACAAGCATTAAATTACTGCAGAAAAAGCTACCCAAAGTGGAAGGGACCAATTCCATTTTGCCAATAACCTTCAACTCAGTTTTCTCTTTACTATTCCCAAGAATTCCATGCAAATTTACCTGTCTTTCATGCTCTGGGAAATTCACATGCCTTCAACTAGCAGCTTCTCTTGTTTTTTAAGAAGAACCTTTATAGAGGAGAAAATAAGCTGAGAAAATACCATAAGAAAAGAAAGAGGTTATTGTGAATATGTAGTTGAATATGTAAAAATTCAAGTAACTTTCTAACATTTACAGTTATAACCTCTCTCTGCCTCATTTAAATGTTTTATAGAATAGGAGCTGCCTCTGTATTTATCCTCTAAAAAGCATAGGAGGCATATGGAAGGACCAACCATATTCATACCACAAGGCATGGCAGATCTTCTGTATTCAAGCCCAAATCTCTTCCCAAGTATTCCCAGCTTCAGACAGATCTGTTCACTCATTGAGAGCTATAAACTATAGAGATCCTTCCCTTTTTCTTCTATCTTCTCTCTCTAGACAGTTTGTATAAGAGTCTCCTAATCATACTTTCTGTATTTATGGATGTTTTCTCATACTCACATACAGCAGAGCTTGGTTTTTAGGCATGAGGAGCAAAGATTTTAGCTCTGAAAAATCAGATCATATGGCTTTTTCTCAAAGTCAGTGAGGTTATTAAATGAAGAAAGCCAATTGAAGTCTTGAGCATTTTCTCCATCTGAACCCCTCCTGTGAAGAAAATGGAACCCTAAATTAATCTTCCCCAAGGTATTAAAGCATCTTCTCCAAGTAAGGTATTGAGCTAATAAAGCCTCAGATGGCAGCTTTGTGTGTGAGGACTCAGAGCACTTGTCTTTATGGCCCCAGGGGACCCTGGTGAACCTATGGGAGACCATTTATTCTCCACATTTCCTTCAAAGGTCAATTATTTCCAGTTGCTTTCATGAGGATATTTAAACATCTTTTTGTAAGAAGTCATTTGAATTCTATTTTCTCCCAGGCTTATCTCAAAGTTAGTTGATGAGTGGTAAGTTAAATGACCTAGAGTCAATATTGTAAATGCATGTCCTCCTCCCCCATTACCATACATGAACCCACAATCTGCAGCCCACACTATTTCTTTTTGAGCTCATCTTGCCAGGATTTTTCTTGTTTTTCTAGAAGTGCAATCAACATACTGATAGCCTGGTGCTTCAGGTAATCACACCACATCTCTTTAGTGCCAGGCATGATAGCATCTATAGTTTTCCCTCCACCCCTGATAGGAACTACACTGCCTATGACTGGTTTTAGGTGACTGAGGAGAGGTTTCAATATTCTGGCCATTTCAATCTCAACATGGAGTAAGACTTTTGAGTATACTTGCTGCAGAGCTTTCTGGTAACTCGGATGAGGCTTTGTCAGCCTGTATCTCAGTCTGATTTCTTCCTCTGCCAAATTATGCTTTTTTCTTTGTTTTTTCAAAGGTTTTAACCTCAAATAAAAACCTTTCACCTCAAATTCGGTCTCAGCACCTGATTCTGGAGAACCAGCCTATGACAAGAGCATAGTCATTAGGTAGCTTGAAAGCATATATAAAAGCTTAAGTTGCCTTGCTTGTCATTCCACTGGTGATATTATGACTGTTTCTGATAACAAGATGATGTTGAAACTATATGAAAGGGTGCAAGAGGGTGCATCTGACCATGCTTATAATCTCCAGGGTCCTTACTCGATCAGAATATAATGTAGGCTAATCAAAGACACAAAATCAATCTGGACACAAAAATGATTCTTGATATCAACATCATACCATGGACAAAATTAAATTTGTGGTAGAGTTATTAAAAGTATAAAGCTATTATAATATAACACAGGGATTTTTATTCATTGTTTTTATATTTAATATCTCTTAAATATTTTACAAAAACCAAAACCAGAAATAAGTTTGCATTAAACATAACTCATTGACATGAAAAAATAATTAAGAAAATAAGGAAGACAGCTATAGAGTAATAAAGATATTTGTCTTATATATCTGACCTAAGACTCATATAAATAACTTATAAATAATATCTACAAATCAATAAGAAAATATCATCAGACAACCTACTTTTTTAATGGGCAAAAGACAAGAACAGGTTCTTCCAGAGAAAAGGTAAGTAACTAATCTACACTAATAAAAGAGAAACATGGTAATTGGCGTACGACCGCTCCCCTTCCCATTGGCTAATCAGGGAGATATGCAAATTAACTGACAGCCAAGTTGGCGGCCGGCAGCCAAGCAGCTTGAAACTAACATGAGGCTTGCTTGCCTCAGTGACAGAGGAAACCACGTTCCCCGCCTGCCGCTGCAGGCCTCTGAGCCTGCAGTTTGAAACATTTTAACAAATACCGCCGGACTTCAGCCAGCAGATTCGCAACATTGTATGCAAAGGCCAGAAACCTA